TAAGGGGGTTTTCCCCCGAAAGGGATTAACTCAGACGAAAGACACCAACTGATGAGGCTGTAATATTATTTGTACAACACATAACTACCATATGCGTACATATATTTACACATATACATATATATGCACATATATATAGCATGTGGAGTAGTGGTTTGAGGTGCTCTGCGCCGCACACAAAGTCCATGGTTCAGTTCCGTGCTCACGGTTCACTAAGCTATACATCCCTCCAGAGTCGATAAATCTGCAACAGACTGCCATCAGACTTGTCTGGGAGGATAAGCAGCACTGACTCGGTTCAGCGGGAGGCCACCGCGAGTCATTGTAAAGGCCAGATATGCATTCAATCACCTCAAACGAAGTTAGAAATTGCAGTCGAATGCATGGCGCATCTCTCAGGGATTGATCAACGCCGAGAGCTTTATCCTTTTTTTTATATATATACCTAACAAGTCTTTGCCAAAACATTGAAGACCAGGAAAAATCCATTTGCATATACCATAAGTTTCCAAAATCAGGCAAATTTCAAGAGGCACTTTGACGGTTTTCCAAGTGGTCCGTAGTTCAGAAGTGGAAACTTATTGACGACAGCTGAGGGTGGGGCGCTTTAGCAAGAGTAGCGTATAGTTAATCTCCTAGCTTCTAAAACAATTCTCTTTAACATGAGACTCTTCCCGGAGCGATCGTGCACCAGTTTTGGTATAATTGACAAACTTACGACATTACTTCTCTGATAATATCATAACATGGATTTTTAAGAGCACGCAGAAAGTACTTCTATTTGCTGGCCATGAGAGTGTCTTTTGTTCTTCCCGTGGTGGTGACCGTACTCTGGAACGTTTCTTGTACCATTTCGCTTCAATCTCACAATAGTGTCGTGGAGTATGTTATAAACTATAAGTCGTATGTTATAATACCATGGAAAGCGGATATTTTATGAAAAAGGCTACAAAAGCGACAGCATTGATGCGCCGCTATCACTCACTAGTCAACACCTTTGTTTTGTTTGATCTTCTCTCCTACTGGAAGGTTCACACGCCATCCCACACGGAGAACATAAATAGCCCTACGTCACACAAAACGGTGACTTTTTTATTAGAATAAGTACCTACAAACACTAAGATGCTGGGCAAACTTTTATAAGGATTACTTCTTTGGAGTAACTCACACCCCTCACCAGATTCATAACCCCTAAGAAATTTAACAACGCCATTAGAACCAGTGGTTACTTTTTAATAATGAGTACTGGATATCGCAAAATTTCAATAGATCCTTTCATTATTATTTGAGTCAACATGTCATGTGGTCTGGTAAAGGCTCTTGTACAGCCCGAGACACGTGTTTCGTCCTTACAGACTCATCAGCCGGGCAGAACCCGTCGTCTGTCGATCTTTTCATAGTCAGTTCTCTCGGAAGCATCACACTCCTTATATATAGTTATCGACGACCTACGCTTTACACTCTTTGTCAGGTGCAACATTCACCTAACACAGAGTGTTTTCGCACTCGATTGCTAGCTGGCTGGTATTTTATCATATTATACCTTTCCTTCATATATGCTATGAGGATTCGGAAAATTTTGCGTTACTTGAGATTTACATGACTCGTTCGCTCATTGTTGTCACTCGGCATGCGGTGCCTTGGGAAGTGGTTGACTGGGAAAGTTGCAAGTCAGTTTGGCCCTCTAATGCCTAGAAAGGGAAAATCTTCAAACTCCAGCTACTATTATCGATACTGTGCTCAACCACGCTACTAAGAGTACAGTGATAAGTGAATAATTGCTGAGCGCAAAGAAGGCTGCAATAGTTTGCAGCTGTTTTTGTAATAGACATACTGTCCATCTACCGATTGATAACAAGTAAAGACGGTCCCACTCTCACAAGAAAGGCGACGGGAATGCGCAGTTAGAGTCGGCTATATCATTTTTAAGAGATGTCGTTAACCTCTTGGAAAATACGAATTGCTGTAAAACATGTACGTTCTTCTCATAAATATATCTGTAGAAAACTCTACAACGATATGTTATTTTCTGTGACGTTGAAGTTTCTCGATCCATCGGGTTACGTACGGTAACGTGCCATTTTTACCAGCAGTGAGACATCGACTGAAGGTCACCTTAAAGAGCAATGTCGAACGTCCTTTTCACTCGATGTGGAGTAATGCATATTTGGCGCCGATAGCATTGGTTGTAGGGGCGAATTATTAGGCACGAATGAGGCTTGCGAGAAGCCCGAAGCGTACATCTATCAATAGAAATACCACATAACAGACTTCTTGGAAATGCTATAACATTTTATCACACTATATCAAATTTTAAGCAGGGTATCAAAATGGTCGATTGAAAGGTATTGCTATTTGAATTTCACTATATCTCTCCGAAGATGTGAAGTTCGAATAACGAGTTAATTGCTCCAAATGTTAGGAGTAATTATTGTCGCTAGTACTGTGCACTGAAGGGGCTTCTCAGAAACCAAGCTCGTTACCAGAATCTCCATTTTTCCAGCTTTGAAATGACTAACAATAGTTTAGTGAGAGAGCAGGATGTTTACTTGTTGCTGCAAAACTACAAAACAACGTAACAAAAGTAAAATGTTGACTAACGTTCATGTATGAGCAAAAATATTTGTTGTCAATTGACGTTGATTTAGTTAATTATGAAATAATGAGTAGAAAATTCACAAAATCAGTGTAAGTTTACAGAACTTTACCAGAAGAAAATGCATTATTTCCGAAGAAAAGCACAAAATAATTCAAAGCACCTCAAATATTTTGCATCAGGTGATGCTAGTACTATAAATAATACTCTAATGGTGCTTAATGACATGTAATGGCTAGACACAGCACAGTGGTAGCTGAGGGAAAGCGGTGGCATTGTGCTTCACCACGCATTTCCCTCGCAGGACAGAGCTCTTCCTTTTGATTATTAGTGATCGTTCGATAATGTAATATTGGCCTAATTCAATGCTGCGCTAATTTTGTGGAAAGACCGCTTCTGTGCAGAGTCGCAGATTAGATAAAATTGATTTCGCATGAGCGAGCCAATAGACTTCGGCCAATTTACGAGCTGCAAGGTGAGGCGACAACGGAGGTCGCGCAATTATCGACCAAAATTCGACCGGTTTTATGTTAGTAAAGTCTTCGTCATATAATTAGGAATTGTCTTCCCACTTTGAAAAAGAACTTTTGATAAAACGTATGACTCTGATACAAAAAGACTTGAGGAACTATTTAGCCATGATTACAGATAAATCGATCATTATTATGATCACTGTGATGAAATATAGGAGGTCACAAAGCCTACTTGCTTCCAACAATGAGTCGAAGTTATTTAGACACTACGAGAATTTCTTTAGACGTTCATATATTCGAAAACCGATCGATCAACGCGTCAGCCCACCCTGCTGCTCCATCCAGCGACCAGTATTGGCTAATGATCACTTGCTCGCACATGTGAATCAAGCTTATTTTCCCTCTTGCTTTGAAGAGAAACAGTCTTCTCAAAATATAAGTTTTGGAATCAGCAAACATTACGCTAGCGAATGACTACAAATAGTCCAAGGAAAGAGTTTTGTCTTAGGAGAAAAATGCGCTTGTGAATTGCAAAGGATTTCCTCCTGTAACAACGTCAAAAGAACGCTTTTTCGAAAACCGATTAGGTGTGGCTGTAGCAAGAGACTTAAGCTTTCTCATGATTACTTATACTCCTATGAGAAATTCCCGTCGAGCGAATGAGATCTATTTTTCATTAGCCACCTCATATTAGACAGGAGCTCAAATTATACGTAGACCGGCCAAAACCTAGTGGGAAGTTCATACAATTTTGTTGAGTTTAAGCGGGAGCTTTTCTAGTATTTTGTACTCTGATCATTCATGAATAATTTGTTATAGGCGAATTTTCATAGAACAATCAGCCAAATGAAGATGAACAGAAGATCACTGAGGCGAACACAGAAAAATAGCTTCAAAAAAGAGACACTTATGACTCAGGAACTGGGTTCAACATACCGGTAGACGGGACTGACTGCTTGAACTGGTCTTTGTATCGCAGAAATGTGTGAATCATCTGCTCTCTAAACAAGGCTGCGACTGTGTACCATGAAGAATAGCATAATTACATAGAAAATTCACATTGGTGCTCACAATATTCATATACCTCTAGGTATTCTTCCACTGTAATGATATCTTCAATAATCATACAGAAAAGAAATTGGTCCATTGTAGTAAGGAAAAGGATCTGAAATTTCTTCTACATGAATCTTTATATTAATATAAACAGTAATGCCGTGCCACTATAGCTATAATCAGTGTGATGATTGAAGCGGGTTTAACCAGTCATAATGCCTGAATACTCGATATCTACTAGTAACTTCAATGGGACAGAAGACAAGTCGGAAAAACAAAATAAAAAGAAAAACATCAGGTGAAGAGCTAACACAGCTGATTTTGAAAGACGAGCAAGGTGGTTCTGCTTGACAACATTTTCACATTAGAATACAAAGGTAGCGACGAGTAAATTAAGCAAATTAAGGTGAAACATATGTTATCCTTGCTGCTACAACGCAATCAACAGGCATTCGCGTAGCCTAGCACATTCTTAGGAGGGCATGTGTCGCAGTGGTTAGAGGTGCTCTGCGCTGCACACGAGGTTGATGGTTTGATTTCGCGCTCATGGCTCACAATCCATCCATCCCTCCGGAGACGGTAAATTGGTACCACACTGGTCTCAGACTTGTCTGGGAGGATAAGCAGCACTGACTCGGTGCAGCGGGAGGCCACTGTGACTTGCTGTATAGGCAAGATATGCAATCACCTCAAACGAAGATAAAATTGGAGACGAATGCATGGATTGAATGGATCAACGCCGAGAGCTTTATCCTTTAGCATATCATCAAAATTGTCGAAATTTGAGCTTTCGAATATTTACTAGAGAGAGAAGAAGAAATTTTTTCTAGCGAGAAAGGTCTTCAGGCATGAGAGATTTGAGTGGTGAGCAAAAACACTACCTTAGACGGGAATCGAACCCGTGTTTCATCCATACCGCGGACGTGCTACCATTACACTATCAAGGTACATTCGCATCAGCAATCATTCTCAATATCTATGTGATAGCTGTAAGCCACCAATCTTTAACAGGTTTGGTCGGGTGTGCGATTTTGCTTCATAAACCCAGTTGAGGTGACAGCCACTGTAATAACTAATGCTAATTTCTGGATTTTTTACTGGCTTTTACGGTGTTATGTTGTTTTGTGAATACCTAAGAGAACTGAGTGGTGAGCAAAAATACGACTTTAGACGAGAGTCGAACCCGCCTTTGATAGTCAGCTTAACCAGGTTTATATAGCGATGTCGCCACCTCACTGAACCTTTTAAAGGTTGGTAATAGACAGCTGTCATAGAGATATTGAGGAATGAGTGGTGGCGCCAATGTACCCCAGTGGTGCAGTGGCAGCACACGTCCTCGGTATGGATGAAACGCAAGTTCGACTCCCAGCTGAGGTCGTATTTTGCTCACCACTTAATTCCCTTAGGTATACATGAAACAACATATTACTATGAAAAAGCACTAAATATACTAGAAATTTCGGGTCTTCAAGCATTCTTATACAAACGCAGGTACACGCCAAGCTAATACAGGTTAACTCTTCGGGGAGGCATGCATTTAGAGAGATACACGACTTTTGCTAGAAACTTTCTCGCTGAAAAAAAAAGTTTTTTAGAGAATCAACATGAAGGTCGACATAATCATTAATTTGGCGATACTACTCAAAAGTGACAAAAATTGGAAAAGTGTCAGAGATGTAAATAAGGCCATAATAATAAAATAATAAGTGAATATAAATAATAATATAATATGACATAGTAACCAATTGTAAATAGTCCATGAACGTTTCATGTTTCGCGTTTGGCTTAATAATGGATGAACTGCACGTTTCAGAGACTTCAAGACTTCTGCATTTTAATCGGTGGGAAAACCAAACAGACCCCACATGGTTCCTACACAAGCAGCTCATTCTCAGTGTTCTAATGTAAAAAAGGTTTTAATAAAAAAGAAAAAGGTCTGAAGGAAAAACAAAACCAGAAATAATCCACTGAGTAGAAAAAACTCACCGTTTTCCTCAGCGAGTTGAACGACGTCGCCCGTCAGTGGGTGGTCCCCACTCCATGAGCAATGAGCACTACTCACAGCCCTCGCTTTCATAAGCGCGGCCGAATTGTCGTTTCGGGACCAACGAGCAGCGGAGCGCAATTGGAACGCGCATTGAAAAAAAACCTGAGCTCATAAGCATCTCTTAGACTTTCTTGTGGAGTCTCCCACATGTATCGAGTCATTCGTTTCATTTCTACTCGTGACCAGACCTGCAACCATCCAAACATTAGGTGTACAACTATGACTCCACCGTTTTTTTCTATAACAATGGCAATAATAGTGGCATAGATTTTTCTATAACAATGGCAATAATACTGTGCAAAACGAGCGTCGGTGGTGCAACGGTAAGCATAGGCTCTCGGAAAGAGTATGATCTGGGTTCGAATCCCGGATGGCGCAAAAGTTTTTGCATAGCACTCTACATTATTGGCTAAATTCTAAGACCATGCAACCGCAAAAGTCGGTCAAATAAATGAAATTCGATTGGTTATTGATACCCAATATCTGTCAACAAAAGCGGGTTCAATGCCGATAGCGGCTGCCCCGCCAGACCGTCAACGGTTGGCTGTTGACAGGTAACGCATTGTAGCGTAGAACGAGTGCTGTGCAAAACGAGCGTCGGTAGGGCAACGATTAGCATACGCTCCCGGAAAGAGTGGAATCTGGGTTCAATCCCGGCCGACAGATAGTTTTTGCACAGCACTCTACATTGTTGGTTATAATAGCAATAATAGTGAAGTGAAAATATACAATTTCTTTCTTTTATTTAGAAATGCGTTAACAACGCTATATTCATACGCTTTTATATACGGAGAATTTTATATGATAGTCCCTATTGGGCTCTGAAAATAGCGACTTTTGCACCCAAAAGATACCATTTTTTTGAATTTGCTAATCTACAATTTTAATCTGGTAATATCGAGTGATAATCTGACGGTGCAATGTCTGGAGAGTAAGGTGTGTAGAGCAAAACCTCATAAAACCTCCCACTTCAGCTCTTTTATGATGTTTCCGATCGGTTTCGATCAACAAGAGGTGGCGCTTTGTGAAAAGAATTTCCCAAGACTTTGATTAAGCTATCAGGCTATTTTTCGGTGTTCAATCTGCCAAACCTAATCTTCCTTCGATTGTTATAGCGCCTAAGAGGGATTTTTCAAAAAGCCAATCCATTATTGGAATTGTCGAAACCTAAGCTACTGAATGGCAACTGGGATTGCAAAGAAAAAGATTTGTTCAGCGAAAAATGTTTGAATGAGAAACATAATGTTGTTTCTGCTGGTTTACTGAAACAATGAAACATACGCCAATCAAAATTTTTTTTGATTTAGGCTATTGAATGACTACTAAAACTTGAGAAACAGCGAAAAAGTGTTTTTAAGAGGTCGATACAGAGTGTGGATAACGGAAAACTACCAAAAGCTCTCAAACTAGTAAAGATAGTCGGAGCGATAAAGCGACGCATGTAAAACACCACTTTATTTCGAAAACTACCGCGCTGTAAGAAGTCCTTTCTTTAAAAAGAATGCATTTCTGTATTTCTTGTGCAGGCTTTCAACATAAGCAAACTTATTTTCTGATTGATTCTACCAGAAAAAAAATTTTATTACCTCAAAAGCTTACAAATAAGACCAAAACATAGAAGCGCCGATTTCCGCGATAGTATCGATAAATCTGAAAACCACGGCGCTCTAGAGTCATCGCGAGCTATTGCGTTGAGCAGCGTAATGCTTCCGGATAATGCACTATCATTATTAAAATTGGGTTCAAGTTTCGCACCTAGTCAAACCATTTAAAATCATCCTCGCTTAAGATCGTATGCAGTCTGCAAGAAATTCAAAATCAACTGCGCTAGAAGATTAGGTTGGAAGGGCTAAGATATGAAAGAGAAAAAGAGGCACTAAATACAGTTCTCTTTCACCAGCTTTTTTCAACAAAGAAAAAGCAAGTAGCGAAATCGACTCTGTTTTTAATGTATCTCAAGCAAGTTATGCAAGTACTTGATCACTTTCGGCATAAATGATCAAGCCCCAACTTGACTCTCAAAAAAAAACAGGGTTTTCAGGGAGCTCGCAGGAGCAAAATCTTCACGTCTGTCCTTTAGTGATAAAGATGTGAAATTCGCAGTAATTCCTAATTTATTGGATGTCGAATTAATGAGTAACTTTTTTAGGATGTACCCCTCTATCGGTCACTCTATGAGAAGGTATATAAACAGCATTACATAGATTCAAATAAAGAGTGGGTCAACACGGCAAAGGCAGCGAGATTGGAATCTTCAGTTATCCTCCGACTTAAGAACTACAATCCAATCTGCTCAGTTTTATATTTACTCATAAAACACATAAATTAACATCCACTGATGATTTTGTGACAAATGATCCATCAACACAGAAGGCTAGACCTATCATCAGTTGTTTATTCTGAGTTCTTTAATGGATATCCTGGACCGTCTCACATTCCAATAGCTCTTTTGCATTAATGCAGCATTAATATGTCTAAGACTTACTGGCCAGGCTGCAATTTGTACCTTTCTCCGAAACCCTTTTGTTCAACTGAAGGGGACTTCTCAGCATCGACTGCTTCTGATTTCCTCTATTCCATTTTGTTGGTTCGTCTTTCTTAGGCGCCCTATTTCCAAGCTTGTCAAGTCGTAGAGAGTTGACGGTTGGTGCTGCAAGCATATTTGTAATACACTAAACAACATCCAAACTTTCTTGATGAGATCTCCTCAATCGACAGCTTTCTAGACCTTGATCAAGCAATAATAATCTGATAAGGATGTAACATGTTTTGAACCATTCACCTGTATCACCTTTCGTCCCGTTGATCTTCGAATATCTCGAGCGGGTACCAGCAACTCTTCCATTTGTCCCTATCGAGTGCAAAAGTAGCCCAGTGGGTCCTCCTTGCTCTAGGGATTCGCTGAGCATCAAACCTTTCTTCTATAGCTTTCGTGAAGAAATCGGACCAACGGGTCAGTGGTCTTCCTTTAGAGCGCTTGACGTCCCGAGGAATCCAGTCGATAACGGCTCTCGTCCATCGGTTGTCGTTGAAGCGCATCACGTGTCCGGTCCACCTTATTTCCGATATCCTGGTGTGTAGAACGGCGTCTCTGATTTTCGATCGTTGACGTAGGTCGGTACTTCGGATCCTTCGTCTCATTTGCGAGATACGAGATACTCCTAGCATCGACATTTCGACTGCGCGTTCGATAACGGCAAGTGATTTTTTATCCTGCTTACGTAGCGACCAGGTTTCTGCTTCATACGTTAGGGCAGGAATAATTGCCGAGTCGAAAAGGTGGGCACGGAGTCGGATGTTCCTTGTCCTCTTCACTACATCTTCGATGCTCTTAAACGTTCCCCAAGCCGCTCGTTTCCTCCTGCTCAACTCTGGAGCTAGGTCGTTCATCATGTTGATTTTACGACCTAGATAGACGTAACTGGAGCATTCGGAGATTGTCGTTCCGTTGAGCGTGAATGAGGCATTAGAAACCCATCCGTTCCTCATGAACATTGTTTTTGTTAGATTTAGTTGAAGACCAATCTCTCCACAGGCGTTGTCGAAATCGGTCATCATTGGTTTTGCTTGACTGATGTTTGGAGTTATGAGAACGATATCGTCAGCAAAGCGAAGATGGCTTGATTGTCGACCGTCAATCTTCACTCCCATATCTCCCCATTCTAATGTTCGCATAACGTTTAGTAGGGTGCCAGTGAATAGTTTTGGCGAGATAGTATCGCCTTGTCTAACCCCTCTTCTTACGTCAATAGTGATATTGTTGTAGAATGGAGATATTCTGGTCGTGAAATCTTTATAAAGCTCACGAAGGATCATTATGTACCGAGTAGGGACGCCCTGGTTATCCAGAGCCTCTATAACCGTTTCTGTTTCCACTGAATCGAAGGCTTTCTTCAGATCGATGAAAGTGAGAAGAAAGAGTGGTTGCTTGTACTCTCGTGAAACTTCAATGAGTCTTGTAATCGTGTGGATGTGGTCTATGGTGCTAAATCCTTTTCTGAACCCTGCTTGTTCGCATGGCTGTCCTTCGTCCAGTGTTCTGTCAATCCTGTTTAGGATGACTCGAGTAAAGAGTTTATAGACGACGGACAGCAGGCAAATTGGGCGATAATTGCCTATGTCGTGGTCTCCCTTTTCGAACAACAATACGGTCTTGCTGGTTTTCCATTGAATAGAGACCTTGCATTGTGACAGGTAGCGAGTGAAGAGCCGAACCACGGTGTTGATGAGAGCTGGCGGCGGGTTCTTCAGGTGTTCTGGTCTAATCCTGTGTGGACCGGGTGTTGTTCTGTTCTTCACCGACGATATAGCATGTCGAATTTCGGATGGGAGGACCGGTGGAACGATATATTCGTGCTCTTTCAATTTATGTGACGGTAAGAGGACATGGCTAGCGAAGAGTTCCAAGTAGTACTGGTGGATGATTTTCTCCATAGCCCTTCTCAAGCTGTAAGTGTCCCGTCAGGGTATCGGAGTGCAATCATCTTGGTCTTAAAGTTGGCGAAGCTTCGCTGGGCTTTGCGAATGCTATTCCCAGCTTCTGCAGCTTCTGCCATAATTGCTGCTCTTCCCTCTTTGAGGTCTTCTTTTATCGCTTCTCTGTAGCTTTTCGCAAGTTTGGACGTAAGGTTCGGTTGCCTGCAGCTCGTGCGATTCTACGTTGACGTATGAGCTCGAGTGTCTACGTAGACAAGCGTCTCCTTGTGACCTTAGGACTCTCGGCTGCCATAGCGCTAACGTGAAGATGTTCAACAAGTCGTTCGTTTTCTTCGTCGATGTTGTCGACAACGTATCTTCCCAAGAACAGACTAATGATTTGAATACATATCAATTTTTTGGTAGTTCTGGGACTTCGTTGTTTGAATTTAGCGGCCTCCTCTCCTCTCCTCGAAAAACGGAACGTTGCGCGAAGGAGGCGATGGTCTGGTCCCGTGTAGAATTTAAGAACAACAGCGACATCGGTCGGGCAAAACCTTCGATTTACGATTTAAGATGTGATCTGTTTCGTTATGGTACTCTCCATTGGGAGGCTCCCACGTTTATCGCTGAGAAGGAGGCTTTTAGAATTGCGAGTTACCATGGATGGCTTGGGTCGTCATGATAAACTCGGATATCCTCCCACCCTGTTCATTCCATTCTAGTCCGTGGGTCCCAATGTGGCGTTCTTCAGACGTTCTTCTGGGTCCAATTTTTGCACTGAAACTCCGATAATGACCTTGAACAATGTATGATCTTCTCTGAAGAATTTTTCGAGGCCCATATAGAACGCTTCGATTTCGTCTTCGCCATAGCTTGGTGTTGGTGCGTAAGCAACGAAGGTGGTCAAAGCCGGCATAGAACCACATCGTTTAAACCGTAGTCGTCCGATACGGGTTGTT